TGAAACAACTTCCTCTTGATCGATGTACAAGTTCATGAGCACAATAAAGTGTTCTGGAATTCCTGTTCTTCTCAAGGTTGTTCAGTTTATTATGGTCCACACAGTCTTAATGCCTTTGTATAGTCAGTGAAACCGGGGTTAAACATGTCATCAGCTATGATATTTCATGTTCCGCATCTTCTGAATCTGGCCTGGACTTATAGCAGTTCCCTGTCAGTGTACTGCCACACTGATGTTGTATGATCTTAAGCAAAATTTTACTTGGTGCGATATCAGTGATGCCATTCTGTAGCTTGAGCATTCTGTTGGGTCCGTTTTCTTTGGAATGAGCACAAGTATGGATCTCTTCCAGTCAGTTGACCAGGTGTTCTGAATTTCCTAGCTTAGAGGGGAGTGAGTGCTTCCAGGACTTCTACGGCTTTCTGAAACATTTCAATTGGTATTCCATCACTTTCTGGGGCCTTGTTTTTGGCTAATGCATTCAGTGCCACTTAAACATCTTCCTTCAGTACTATTGGTTCTTGCTCATATGCTGCCTCCTGAAATTGTGGACTGTCGACTAGTTCTTTTGGGTACAGTGACTGTGTACTCTTTCCATCTTCTCTTGATGCTTTCTGCATCATTCAATAATTTGCCCATAGATTTGTTTCAAGATTGTTTTTATTTTTTCTTGGGTTCTTTCAGTTTCAGATATGCTGAGCATGTTCTTCCTTTTTTTTTGGTTTTCTAATTCTAGGTCTTTGCACATTTCATTATAATATTTATCTTCTCAAGCTGTCCTTTGAAATATTTTATTCACACCTTTGACTTCATCATTTTTATTTGCTTTAGCTACTCTATGATTAATAGCTAGTTTCAGAGTCTCTTCTGATAACCACTTTGATTTTTTTCTTTCTTTCCTGTCTTCTTAATGACCCTTTGCTTTCTCTTTTTTTCCCTAGAAATCTATTTATTTTTGACAGGACTCAGAGGTAGAAGTTCTCTGAGAGGAACATCTGTTCCTGATGTTTTCCTTTGGCCTCCCAGCCTTGTTTTTCTTGGTGCGCTGTTTCTTCAGGGTGATGTGCCGGCATTTGTGCTACAGGACACGTGGTCACGAGACTCTGAATCTTGAGGGCTTTGGTCCTGGGTTTCTTCCTCCTTGGTTCAGAGGTGTTCTCACAGCATACTGATGGACATCATCTTCTTTAGAGAGATTGAGTGTTTGCGGATTCTGCTCGCTCTTTTGGGTCCCAGGCAGCAACGCACAGTTGTAATAGTCAGTCCTAGGATATCTTTCTCCTTTTTTTGACAATAGCCAAGCTGAGAATGCTCGGATTGGCATCCACAATGCAGCCCCAGAGACATTTGTGCTTCCTCTCTCCAGTTCTTGGTCTGTAACAGGAGTGCCCTTTATTCAGCAGCAGCCAGATTCAGCCATGGGTCAAGACACCTTGCTTCATGAGAAAACCTTGCTTGTCATTCCGACCACTGATGTGGACAACATAACCCTTCAACATTCATCACCCAATGCCTCGACAGCAACTTCTGTGGCCATTCGCTTCTCATAAAGGATGCAAACTTTGCATTGATCATCCCCTTCAATGAGTTTCTAGCAGTCAGTGACTGGAAAGGAGATGTTCAGCTGAAACCTGCGATGCCACGGGAAGAGCTGACCTGTGGCTTTGTCCGTGCGTTCATCCGTCTTGATCTCCTTCCACAGCTTATCAGGTCTTCTGTCGTTAGTGTTCTGTGAATCAAATCTGTCCCTAATAGGTTCTTGAAATTCAGATGGGATAGACTCATGGTCATTCATATTTTGGCTCTCATGTACTTGTTTTAATTTTCTTCAGGTTTATTCTGAACTTACATATGAGCAATTGATGGCCTGTTCCACAGTCAGCCCCGTCTGGTTTTAGCTGCTGCTCCATTGTGTCTTCCCACAGATGTAGTTACCAATTTGATTTCTGTGTGTTCCATCTTTAGTAAAGCATCATGTAGTTGCTTTTTGTGTTGTTGAAAACGTAATTTGCTATAAACAAGTCATTGATTTTGCAAAATTCTATCATGCGATCTCCAGCTTCATTTCTGTCACCAAGTCCTTATTTTCCAACACTGTTCCTTTCTCTGTTTTCTACTTTTGCATTCCAAGCACCCAGTAATTCTCAATGCATCTTGATTGCTTGTTTGATCCATTTCAGACTGGACTTGGTGGTAGAATTCTTAAACTTCTTCCTCGCTAGCTTTTGTAGTTGGTGCAGGAATTTGAATAATAGTTACATTGATTGGATTTACCTGAAGGCAGGTAGATACAATTCTATCACAGATAGCATTGTACTTCATGATGGAGTCACCAAGATCCTTTCTGACAGTGAATTCCTCTTGTTTGTGGTGTTCCCTGCATAGTAAATCATAATGATTTTCTGGTTTGAAACAGCCGGTGCCAGTCCACTTTAGCCCACTAATCTTTATGCACTCCATTTCCTTTTTGAGAACTCCCAATTTTCCTAGTTCATACTTCCCACATTCCTATCAGCACATTTTTGCAACTGTTTCTCCTTAAACCTTGAGTCGTGCTGTACCAGCAAATGAAGATCCTGAATGTTCCACTCCCACAGGCTTTACCTGATTCACATCGCCATGGGTGACTCACTCTGAGCAATCAGCTCCTCCTCAGTCATAATTCAGGTGCTCTGGGACCTGCAGGGCCCATCCTCTGGCACTGTCTCTGACAGGGTGCTGCTTCCATTCAGTAGACTTTCAGATTCTAACAGTGTTGCCAAGCTATGCAGAAGGTTTTCAGTAGCTCCTTTTCCTTCATAGTGGGGAGCCAGTCCTTCATTATTCTTAATCTGGAAGCTCCCCTGAAACCTGTTCACTTTGAAATACAAGTGACATAGCTTCCAGCATCACTGCAACTCACTGCACTACAGTATGACAAACAGACAGGTGATGGGATTAGTTGATAGGATTTTAGAATGCTCTGGCAATCTGGAAATTAGCTCCCAATCACATTAACTGCAGGTAGTATCAGCTTAGCGGGAAGAAATACATTTATTTTAGAATGCTAGCAATGCTTACTACTTCATTGTTTCTTTTAACAAAGTATAATGTATAAAAGGATTCAGAACTTTACATTTGGGACTAACCCTAGATCTGTTTATTCAATTTCTTTTCAGTAATAAATTATCTCTGCCCTTTTTTTCCCCCTGCAGGCCTCAGCTGTTGAAGAATGCTCTACAGAGGGCAGTAGAGAGAGGCCAGTTAGAACAAATAACTGGCAAAGGTGCTTCAGGGACATTTCAGGTTAGAAGGCTTGGTTGTAAAGAGTGTTTCTCAACCTCTTTGATTTCAGGACCTCTATGTTTATCAGTTGATTTAAAAACAACCACAGTAAACCAATTCTATATTAATATCAATAACAATTTTGTGGAAAATGGCATTATTTTTGCAAATGTCTTAAGACATTATTATAAAATGGGCTTAATAGAAGACAGCTGGTGTCTGTTCTAATGATTTTTTGATAAATTCTATGAAGAAAACAGAAATTTGGTATGTCTCCTTTACCTTTTTTTTTTTTAACTTTTACCTACAACTGTTTAAATGAATTAAAGACGTGTTTCGTAATTACTTTACTTTTCAGATTTAAAGAGTATTCTCAATGTTAACCTAATTTACTGGGAGCATAACAGGTTAACTTCTTTATCAGAGTATTTCTGTTAGTATCTTTGGGTAAAGTTTGCCATTTCTGTTTTAGTTCGGAAGGAGGTGGATGGAAAAGGAACTGTCCATAGGAGGGCTGGAACCCCTTGGTTTGGTTGGATCCCTGGTGAATGGGAAGGGAAAGCCCTAACCTGACAAGTCATTGTGAGACGTGTCTGTGCTGATGCAGGAGCTCCAACCCACCTGGTGCAGCAGTCTTGTCTTGACCTTTGATGCTTTTCTCTTCCTCCTTGGAAAACAGCTGAAGAAATCAGGGGAGAAACCCCTGCTTGGTGGAAGCCTGATGGAATATGCCGTCTTGTCTGCCATTGCCGCCATGAATGAGCCGAAGACCTGCTCCACCACCGCACTGAAGAAGTACGTCTTGGAGAACCACCCAGGGACCAATTCCAACTATCAAAGTAAGACTCTGGGTATGTGTAAGGGGGACTTTTTTTGTGAAGAAATAAAACGTGAAAAGAATGCTGTGAGTGTCTGAAGCAGTAATTACTGACTGATAGCCAAGCGGGAACAGCTCTATAGATTTACCTTTGCCAAAAGGAAAGCAAAGATGGTCATATTTTTGTGTGTCTGTAAAGTCAGAGGTTGAGTTTCTTGTACTTGTTTTATTGAGTAAATCAGTAGTTTGAAACACCTCAAGAATTCACTCTTTGTATACATGTAATTTCACCATGACGGCAAGCCCGTGTTTAAGAATGTTTTCTACTTAGATTATTTCTTATTGACTTACACCCGGTAAAATCATTCAAAAAGGTACACTTATCCTATGAGGAGGTGATTTGGATTAAAACCTAGTCTTAGCAACATTATCACAGATAAAATGGTGAGATAATGTAACTTGCTTAGAATGTGAAGAATTTGGAAATTAGCAAAACACAGATTGGTATATATTAAATAATATTTTGAAATAGTGACTTTACTGTAAAGGGATAGAGTGTTTTGTTTTCTTACTGTAAGATTAATACTCTCTGTAATTGTGCATATTGACCTTTAGAGTCCATTTGACTTTTCTCTGTTGGCCAAGTGTTACAAAAGAGTCTGATTGGGTTATTAACCTTCCTGCTGTCACTGGTTTGACTGCTTGTTTTGAACGTGCCTTTGCATTAAGATTGATAAGGCCTTGAGGAGCCGCAATAGCGGTTTGGTTTGTAACTGCTAGTCGAGAATGAATTGGTTGCAGTCGACTATCTTTTGATTTATCCTCCTGAATAATTGTCATGCACTGAGCAGATGTTGAAGAAATGTGAATTCTGGTTTTCCAGTCGACTGTTAACCCTGAATGTGTATCCTTAGGGCAAATCACTGATCGTCACTGGTCTCCTGTCTCCTCGTACATGAAATGAGAGCATTTGAAACTCGGGGGTTTCAAAATTTAATCTTGCCAAATGTATGAGCACTTAATAAATGTTTAGTGAAAAAGCTAATACATTTACCCACGAAGTATTCATGTAGCACATGAGAAATATTCAAGGGGCTTCAAATAGTGAAAAATTACATGAAAAAATGAATGAAATTTTTCTGCATTTTAAATTTCCCTCATGTATGTTGAGAATGCATTGTTTAATTGATGGCTATCTGATTGCGATAGAAAGGATTATCACTCTGAATAATAAATAATTTTTGTACTTTACTGAATTCCCTTTTCAGTGCATCTGCTGAAGAAAACTCTGCAGAAATGTGAAAAGAATGGCTGGATGGAACAGATCTCTGGGAAAGGATTTAGTGGCACTTTCCAGCTCTGTTTTCCTTATTATCCCAGGCAAGCATTTCGTCTACAGTGATCAGTATTGGTCACTGGCTTTATTTACCTTACTTTATCCTTATTAGTACTGGATGGAACTGTGTAGATAAGGGCTTCAAAAAGTTTGTGGAAGCTTTTCATTATTTTCTTTTTTATATATGTCAATTTAATTGGAGGCTCTTACAGCTTTTAACACAACCCATACATACATCAATTGTATCAAGCACATTTGTACATAATATTGCCATCATCATTTTCAAAACATTTTCTTTCTACTTGAGCCCTTGGTATCAATTTTTCAATATTTTCCACAAACTTTTGGAAACCCTCCTAATATTTGAAGACAAGAACCACGGCAGAGTGTACAGCAGAGTTTTTTTATGTAAGAACAGGGGAACTCAGTCCTCTGAGTGTTTCTGAGGAACGCTGGGAGCTGACGGGTGAGGACTTGGACTGGTACCCACACGGGCAGCACTTCAAACCTACCAGCTGTTCTGTGGGACAAAGCGCAGGCTTTCTGCTTGCTAAAGATTTGCAGCCTCAGAAACACAGGACGCTGTCCTTTGTTCTTCAGGTTCACTGTGAGTTGGAATCCAGTCAATGGCACTGAGGTTTTAGAATTTTACTAGAGCTTTGAAGCCAGCAGTTCTGGAATCCAGCATTGAATGCTTTGAGATCTATGTCATTTTGATGTTGATTTCTTCTTCAAGTAAATTATTACAGCAGGCGGATTATTGAAGGATTCCTTCCAACTTGTTTCATTGTCCAGCACCAAATAAGGAAGAACATGGGTTCTTTCTAAGACTCCTGACTCTGCTTTCATCCTCCTGTAGAGATAAGAACATTTGTGTGGAATACCCTGACTCTCATACATATCACACCATTTATTCATTCAAACAGAAAGAGTACTGCTGTATGCACTGCTGCTATCGCTGCCTTACACAATTTATTTGAATTTTTCAGCCATTGGTTTTAATTTTTAAAGCCACATAGAATGTATGGTTTTAAAACTTTTTAACTATAAGAAACAGGATTCTACCATTGACAGCAAAAATATGTAGAGAATCTTGCTACTCTTTTCAAAAACTTCAAAGAGATTCGGGCCTTATAATACTTGGAAATCCTTTCCAGTATCACGAGGGCAAAAAGTGCTCACGGCCTTGTAAACGCCGTACTTAGTGACCAGTACAGTGCGGGACATTTAGGTACATAAGTAAATGCCCGTTTAGCAAATGATTGAATTAATTTTTCGAGATAGAGGAAAGAAATAAGATGTGGTTAGACGCTTGTTCAAAATTGCTTAAATTATGTATGATACTCGAATTCTAACTTTGGCAAGGTGGATGAGAATATCTAGAGAATTTCTCTTCACACTATTTTTCATATCCATATGAGGCTTGTTTTACCTGTAAACTTTTTTAAAAATCATTTTATCGGTGGCTCCTACAACTCTTATCACAGTCCATACATCCATACATCCGTTGTGTCAAGCACATTTGTACATTTGCTGCCACCATCATTCTCTTTCTACTTGAGCCCTTGTATCAGCTCATTTCCCCCCTCTCTCATGACCCCTTGATAATGAAAACATGCTTGCTTTTCATGTCTCACACTGACCAGTGTCTCCATTCACTCACTCTTTTGTTGTACGGCCCCTGTGATCGGCTCCCCCTTCCTCCCCCAACATTACCCTCACCCTCCTGGGTTATTTTGTTTTGATTTGTTTTTAAATAGCCCAGGAGTTCTGTTTCCAAAGAAAGAGCCTGAGGATTCTAAAGATGAAGATGAAGATGATTCATCAGAAGAAGATGAAGACTCTGAGGATGAAGAACCACCTCCAAAGAGAAGGTGTGGAAGTGTGAAAAACGGGATGTGTGTGTGTGTGAGAGAAAGGGTGCTAATGGGAGAGGCCAAAGATAGAAGAGTGATTTTTAGCAAGTCAGAATCTTAAGTTCTTTGCTTGACATTTGAACTTGTCTTCTTCCTTGAAAATTCCAGGGCTTTGAAGGTATGGTGAGCTATGAAGTATAATTTACTCTTTAGTCAAACCTTTATAACTAGTCTGGACATTCAAAGAATAATAGTCCCATGTTTCCCTTGAAAGACCATCATAGAATTGTGTAGACTTTCATAGTTTGGTTGAACATTTATATAATTTTACTAAATGTAATTGAAAAAGAATAAATCACATTCATCTTTTTTAATATGGGTGACTTCTACCTTGCCTTTGCATGTTTTGCAAAACGTGACTTTCCTGACTGACAAGTGAACCTCTGCTATACTAAGCCGTTGCCTTTTCTCTGTGGCTCTTACAGGTTGCAGAAGAAAACCCCAGCCAAGTCCCCGGGGAAGGCAGCATCCATGAAGCAAAGAGGCTCCAAGCCCAGGGTTAAAGTCCCTGCTGCCCAGAGGGGGAAAGCAAGGCCCCTGCCCAAGAAAGCCCCTCCTAAAGCCAAAACTCCTGCCAAGAAAGCCAGACCCACACCCTCAGTCATCAAGAAACCAAGTAGTAGCTCTTCAAAGAAGCCCGTAGCCAGTGTGCGGAAGGAAGTGAAACTGCCCAGCAAGGGCAGCTCCACCATGAAGAAGCCTTTCAAAGCAAGGAAGTAAATTTTATAGGAAAAGAGGGTATCATGATTAAATTCAGAATCTTATTTTCTAAGGTCAGTGTGCATTTGTTTTTAGTCTTGAGGCTTATAAGTTTATTTTCTTCCCCCACATTGTTGGGAGGGAATATAAATAAAACAATATAGACACTTTTTAGCTTTGGGTGCTGTTCTTGGTGCCTACCCAGCCCTGCCCCCTGCAGCCATTTTAATTTCTGCTGTCATTCTGGATTTCCTAAACCATCCTGGTCCTTTTTCTGACCCTTCTCTTAGCCCACCCCCAGCCCGTCTTCTGGTTTTGGTCAGCATTGGCTTTTTACCTCACCCCACCCCCTTTCTTCCAGTTTTATCTAAACGGTTGCAGAGATTTTTATATTTGTAGAAAGCATCAAGAACCGGATGCTGGTCAGGTGCTAGAAGTGAAAAGGGGGCAGTGCAGCTCTGAGTATAATCTGAATGCTTCCTGCCCGGTGACTTCAGTCACAGCTAGAGACCTTGATCTTATTTATAAAACCACTCCACTAACTTCTTCTCTCCAACTGTAAACAGACCACTTTGGGAATAAGCCTAAAATGCGCGCTCACAGTCGATTCTGAAGATGCAGGCTGCTTGGGGCCAGCTGCTTTTCACACTCACTAGTGTCTAGGTGTTAATCTCTGGTCCGGGAGCAGACACTCATTCTCTTAACGTGTACACACTCTCCACTGCTCAGCTTGTGACTGAAGGGGAAGTAGAGAAATACAGAGAATTGCATTTCTGATGTCACCTGTGTTACCAAAAATTAAAACAAAATCATCTTGATCAAATGTTCAAATATATTTTTCAATATTTGGAACATGAATTGTCACTTCCTGTTTGCCTTTTTTTATAAGGAAATGTTGGAGAGTTACATGATCGCTAATGTTAAGTGGAAAAATATACAGTTTGCTAAAATAAACTAGATTCCAGATTCATCTATGGAATTATTTCCCCCACCTTCCTTTCCACAGCATTTTTTATATCAAGCAAGTGGCTTCCTTTTGAGATAATAAAAATAAAAGAGAAAAAAAGGCTAATGAAGCCCAACTACCTACCCTTTTCTTACTTGTATTTGTTTTGGTATTGTGAAGTTGTGTTAAATAGTACTAGCTTTCCACTAGAGAAATAATTTCTGGTTATAATTTCTCTTCCCTGTGACACTTGACAATTTAATTGTCTTAAGCTTCTTTGGTATACCATCTCTTGGCTCCTTGAGTGCTGCCAGAGGCAAAAAATGTTTGTTTCATGTTCATTCCACTTGCATCATCTTCTGGGACCCCTTCTACAGCCTAAACTGTGCTGGGAAACGGACTTGAGAGGATCGGCTTGAACTACAACCACAGTCACATGTGACCCATCATGAGTTCATTGGGATTTGCGTTGCATGTAAGGCAATCTTTCCTGTTGTAAATCTTCCTTTTTTAATGTACATATATTTTGAGAAAAAAAGAATAAACATGAAATTTTAAAAGTTGCTGAACTGTAGCTTATATTTAAAAGTTACTACTTTGCCCTCAAAAGTAGCTAAGTGTTGCCCCACTTGAAACTTTTCTTTGCCTCCCAATAGTTGTCTTGTATTTTCCTTTTAAAATAACAAGCTCTGAATAAAATAAGCTCTGGTTACTTCCTTTGGAATTCTTGTATTGCTGGCAAGTAATGTTTGGAGATATGTTGAATATTGATTATTTAATCAGTCGTTTGAAAAATAACAAGTTTGCATCTTATTAAGGACTATAGTCAAGAGCACAGGGCCCACTTTCTCTTGGCCTCAATGTTCCATTGTGTTCTTGGATTAAAACCAAATTACAGGACTGCAAAGATGAAAGAGACCCTCAAGACCTAACCCCAGAAAGGAAGGCTAATTTCTGTGTGCTGTTTGGAAAGTGATCATTCCCATCATGGAAACTTTCATAATTCTCTTTTCTAAATCAAAAGTTGGAGATTTCAGTTGGTTTCTTTGTTTTATGTGCTTCTGTATCAAAATGATCACCGGGTGGCTGTGTTTATACATCAGGAGAGCAAGCATTCGTGTGCCATTTATCTTAGTTCACTTATGGCCCCTTCCAGCTCTGATATTCTAGTAATTTCAGAATCTTGAAAAGAGAAGAAATGGATAGTCCATTGTCTTCCTCCAGTGACAATTGCCAGCTATAAACAAAACATGCAATTTTTTTATTTGAGATAAAGGCATTCGAAAAGAGAAAAACACAATTTCCTTATTTGAGATAAAGGCATTCGAAAAGAGAAAAACACAATTTTTACTTTTATGCTACAGGAAACAAAACTAAATCAGAGAATTCCAGTGGTTTTAACACTCTGGATGCATAGCGACCTGCGTTACAAGACAAACGTCCTTTGTTTAGGCTTTCGGTATTTGAAAATGCTGCAAAGCTATGCATATGATTTTCAGAGCTGCTTCCTCTGCAGTGGGGAGCCCTCCCTTGTCTGTTCTTAGTCTGGAGGCTCTGCTGAAACTGCTTCCCTTCGGGTGATCTTACTGACGTTTGGAATACCAGTGACAGCCGACAGCCTCACACAAGCCGCCGCAGTACGACACGCTGGCAGACAAGTGGTGAGTGACTGGATGTTCCAGAAGGAAAGTTGTCCGTTCTTTTTGCCTACAAAATGGGAAAAAGCAAACATTACAGAGTAACGTGCAGACCACTTCTTAGTCCACAGAACCTACTTGGAACCATTCAATTCTGACCTTAAGTAGGACTTAGTGACTAAACTGATCAGAACAGAGAGCTTCATCTTTTTCCCATGGAGCTACTGAACTACTGACCTCGAGGTTCACAGCCAGTCCCGAATCCACAGCACCACCAGGGCCCTTGACTGACTACCCACAAGGAATTACAGGAAGCCTAGCCCTGGGTATATTTGAGAAAACAGCTGTGTGTTTTAATCGTGTCTGTTGGGCATAATTAATAGGAAAATTACATGAAAACAGGAGTTAAACAATATGTCGCATATTTATTTTGATATTTATTGCCATCTTTTACCAGATTGTGTTAGCCGTAGGTTTGCTGCCTTATTCCTTAAAGAGCCTGTGAAATGATTTTCCTTCAGATCAACACACTTTCCATTCTAATAATGAGAGGACTTCAAAACAGTGGGGAAAGCGGCCATCTAGCTGAGAAGCAACAAAGCCCACATGGAAGAAGCACACCAGCCTGTGTGATCACAAGGTGCCGAAGGGATCAGTTCTCAGACATCAAAGAACAAAAACTCATATCCTTGTGTGCTTACCTCTTACATTAATTGTCTTCCACATGCCTGGCTGAGTATAAATCACTAATCCTAGCAGTTCACTGAGATGGCTACTGTTTATTACCCTCATTCTACAGAACGGAAAACAACCACAGTAAAGTTTAATTATCCTTGCCTGCCAGCCACCCCCAGCCAGGAGGAAGGTGGTCAGAGTGAATGGCAATACCTGAATTCAAAAGCAGACCCTGAATACAGAACCATCTCTAACTGTTCTACTTGATCGCCCTCCTGGTAATGCTCAAGCTTCTGAAGCCTCTCCTCATCCACAACCGAATGACTCCATGAAAGAAAGAATGTCAAGAGCGCCAAGCCACAACTCCCTGCTAAAGTGGCGTTTGTTTCAACAAAGGTTTGATAGCTTACAATTAGATTTTAGATTGACTAGGAAATGTTGATCTAGGTTGCTCAAAGTTTGTTTATTTTTTAGGACACTGTGCAGGTACTTGGCTTTGCCAAATCTTAGCCACTGAGCACTCTCTGCTTTCCCTTTTTTACAAGCAAATTCTTCATGTGCACAGAAAGCTAATACTAGGTAAGAACTTCCTGCCCCAGAGCCCATCTTCTCTCAGATTGCTCGTGTTGCTGGGAGCAGCATGCTTTCTCTATGAACTGAACTTGTATTCTAGGAGTGAACTTGTATGTCCACATATAAGGTGAACTTGTATGCCCACCAAGAACAACCCCAGGATGTGGATTTTCTCAGGCAACTGAATTTGGGGGTACCTGCTTAGTAATCATGAGCTGGAAGATTAGAAATCTTTGCTCGTATCCTCATGATTCTGAAAGAAACCTTACTTGTCCAGTCTGCCCTGCTATCTCTGGGCAAATTTGTTTATTTAATAGCAACAGATACCTTTTTTCCTTTTAATTCCCTAAGCATGGAGTTTCACAACATTCTTGGTTATGCATTTTAAATGCTTTCAAACTTCGGTGCTGACAAAATTCTTCTTGGGTCCAAACTAAATCCTCATTGTGCAACTCAACATCTGCTAGTGTCATTTTCATTGTACCCGAACTAAGGTTGACTCTTGTTTACACCACCCAGCCCAGTATCCTAACATCTGTAGCGGTGGGCTTGAACAGCTGTGGTCCTGAATAGGCCGTTAGATGTGGGAGTGTGGGCAGGCCATTTAATCTCTGAGATCTGTATTGTAATTCCTAACTTCCCTGTCTGGTTCCAGGAGAATTATGAGGCTTTCTACTGCTGTAATGAGTTCTAATCTCAGAACACCCTGGGCTCCTTTTGCTCTATGGGGTCGCCATGAGGTGGACTCTCGACAGCAGTAAGTTTTTAGTTTTATGCCTGTGGTTATTATCCCATTTAGGTTGACTTTGTTAACAAGGCGGGATTCACAAAGGATGACTTTTGAGCGGACCTTAAAGTATATAAATGAAGCAGATTAAGCAGGAGCAGGGGAAGGTAGTTGCCAAGCCAGACTCGGTAGAGTCTCAGAAAACAGAGAAGGAAGCAGCTCAGGGCTGAAGCATGCATGGGCGGGTGGAAGATGGCTTGTCCCAAGGACGCTCCTTTCCTTGGATCCAGTCAAATGCTGAGAAAAGATGGAAGGGGGGTGGGGTGGGGGGTGGAGGTGGAGTCCTCTGCTGCTTTATGGCACTGCTCCTTTAAAAAGGCCCAGGAGACCAGACCTCAGCCTGATAACCTCAACCACACCAAACCTTGAGAGTAACATACCGATGTGAAGCAGCCACCTGGCCCAATCCCAGCCTCGTCAACCCCTCCCAGAGGATGGCACTGAAGATAGAGCCCAGGGAGAGTGGCAAGTCTCCCCTGACCACATGGAGGGAAAGAGTGGACCGCAGCCTGGGCCACCAAGCCCTGAGGATGGCATTCCTGCTAGAGCAGCCGAGCGAGGCACAGAGGGAGGGTTGGCCCCACCACAGTACGGGACTTGTGCCCAATCTGACCTATGCCCCCACCAGGTAAAATAGGAAACAAAGGGAGTGCAACAGAACAGCAAGAGGAACAAAGCAATGAAGTCGGGGAGAAATCCCGAAAATAGACTTTGGGGGTCAGGGCTTGTCACCTCATCAGACTCCATTTGAAAACATTCATAGGGGTCAGCAAACAGACCTGGAACTATTTATAGGCCTTATCCCCTCCCCCCCATCTTTTTTTCATGTCTGTCTATATAGGATAGACAACAGTTCCCCCCCCACCCTAAGGAGAAAACAACAGAGGTGGGGGAAAGGAAGAGGGGACCCAACAAACCCAGGGACAAGAGAACAAGAGATCTAAAATCGATGGCCAGGAGGGTATACAATGTCTAGTGGGGTTTGATCAAGTGCAATGTAGCCAAGAGGAATTGTTAAGTAGCTAGCTTAGGGACCGGGGGTAGGGGTGGGGGTGGGTTGTCCCTCCCATGACTGCAAAGGCCCCCCGCAGAGGAGGTTAGAAAGAAATCAGGAACCCCATTAGACACCTATGGGAAGACCCCAAACTGACCATGCACACACACAAGCCCCTAGACCCAAGTAAAGCCAATACCTTGGACACACCCACCTTAGGTACATAACAGGTAGGCCTAACAGCCAGTGGGGTCAACCAATACCTTCAACCTTTTAACCCAGCCAGAGGTGTTCAAAGCCGGCTATGAGAAAGCCACTTTCTCTCTTGCTCTGGTCTTGTGGCAGGTCGGAGGGTAGGGATGCACACATGCCACTCAGACGTGTCCTACATGCGCTTGGCCTCTTGGACTCCGGGTATGCCCCAGTTCTACGTGTCTGGGTGGTCTTTTCCATGTGGTTGTTCACGCCCAGTTGTGAACCCCAGCTCGACTGCAGCGGGGCTTGGCACGCTTTCCAGAAATAGCATGCACTCTTTGGGGACTGTAAAACCTGAAACTTTTCATTCCTTCATAAAAACTCAGATCACAAAATGTGCCCCAATGTGAATTCTTTCAGCATAGGAAGCAAAGAACAAAGGTATAACCCATTCCAGAAACCTCACAGGATTACTGAGAGCCGAATGAAGGATTGAACATGACAGGGAGACAGGAAAGTAAAAGGAAATAGAGGAAAGAACTAGGCAAAGGACATTTATAGAGGTCTAAATACAGGCATGTATATATGTAAATACATTAATATATAACATATTTGATGTTAAGTATCAAGGTAGCAGACATTTGGCCTCTACTCAAATCCTCCCTCAACACAACACTTTGTTGTAATAACCTGGCATTCTCTGATGCTTACCTTCCATGACACGATCGCTGAGTAAAATGGGTGCATAAGCAATTTGTAGTGAAAAAAGCTGATGGTGTCTGGCTACCAAAAGATACAGTTGGCCATCTGAGAAGCAACAAAGCCCACATGGAAGAAGCACACCAGCCTAT